CCCAGCGGAAGCTAGAAAATGAAGGGTGAAGAGCGCCCGCGCCCACAGGTCCTGGCTGAGCACGACGCATTCCAATGAGACCAAGTTCAGATACACCTGTAGCTTGCTGGTGGTTAGAGCCTGTAGGGCAAGGGAGAGGGCCAAGTGGACGACGCCCAGGCCGACGGCGAGTGCGGGGAAGGACAGTTCTTCCAGGGCGAGGGCGGCTTCCGGGTAGCAATGGAGGGCGTGGTAGAGGAAGGCGTAGGGTCCCAGGGCCATGGCGAGGGGGAAGAGAGGGTCTAGCAAGGCAAGCAGGGGGTTGGGGGCAGGGATCAGGTAGGGGAGGAGAAGGGCAGAGAGGCTGCTGGAAAGGGGAGGGCGAGTGAGGGGCGATGTGGTTGTAGAGGAAGGAAAGCAGGAAGAGGAAGGGAGAGAAGGAGGGGTGCTGGTCGTGATGGAGGAAGCGCGTCGCAAGGCCCGGGGGAGGGAGGAGAGGGAAGGGAAAAAGGAGGCTGGCTTGACAGGAAAAGCAGCAATAGAGGTCGCGGAAGAGAAGGATGCGGGCAATAGCGTAGCAAGCGGGAAAAGTGCTTCGCGCATGTGCTGGGGGTAACGGATGACGGTTACCAGGGCCGCCGGTCGAGTCAAGGAGAAGGTGCGCGTGGTCATCACCTTATCTTTCGTTTCTTCCTTGCCCATCAGGACCCGGGGGAGGTATGCGAGGCAGTGAAGGTAAGTGAGGGTGCGGGAAAGGGCGGAAGCAGGGATGGTGCGAACATGCACTCTGTATCTATGCAGTTTCCCTTTCCTTAAGCCCCGCCAGACGAGCGAGAGTTCTTTGGTCTCGGCAGATATGACGACACGGATCTTCCTCCATATTCCTGGGAGGAAGGCATGATGGAGCGTCTTCTGTACATAAGAGGAAGGAAAGAGGGATTGGTCCTTGGAGGCCCAGCCGTGCAGGAGGAAGGTGCCGGCGGAGGAAGGGAGGTAGGAGATGGTGACCAGGCGATAGGTGGGGGGGGGGAGGGAGGACGGGGAGGAGGAGGAGGGAGATGGCAAGGAAGGCGAGGGCAGGGAGGTGGAGGGCGTGTCAGGCATGCGAAGGAGGATCCGGTGCTGTGTGGCCGAGGGAGAGATAAGCGCGACGGTCGGGTCGGGGAGGGCGAGGTTCAGGGACCGGTGGGCGCTAAAGGTGTCGATCAGGTAGTCACCCATGGCGACCAAGCAGCTGCGCAAGAACGGAAGCAGAGACGAATCTTGACAAAGAATGCCGGGGGCAAGGACCACAGAGAGGGTTAGGGCGTTTTGAGCGGTGGATGGGCCGACAAGGAGGGCGAAGAGGGGAAAAGCGGCATGCGCCTTTGTCAAGGGAGAGGGAGGGGCCACGACCGGGGACGGAGGGCCAGCCTCTTGGGAGAGGGCGGGCAGTAAGGATGGAATCAGGTGAGGGTTTTTGAAAGACGTGGCAAGGTAGTAGACGAAGTCTCCATCTAAATGAGGGCTGCCCTCGGAGCTGTTGCTTGCACCGGGAGATGGGTACCGGTACCGGCCCGTGCGCTGCGCGACAACAAATTCTCGGGCAGGATGCTTTTTCTCTGCCCACGTCATTTTTACAATGCTACTATCCGTTCCACTCCCATTTCCTTCCGATTCGTGGCTCTCACGGCTGCCAGTAACGCATCCATCGTTGCTGCTGGTGAGGCTCCCGCTGCAAGACGCAGGCAAAAGTGCGAGGATCTTGACCCGCTCAAGCTGGGCAAATAGGAGTGATTGTAGGATTTGGGGACTATGGGTGTGGATGTGGAAAAAAATGAAAGCTGCCGATACGTCGTTCAAATTGAAAGTGGCCGCTGTGATCGTGGAAGTGATCCGAAATAATCCACTGCTGGAGACTTGGATGTCTGGGTAAGTGGGATGCGGAGACCAAAGGGTTGGTGTTGGGGCAGCAGAGGAAGGGGCCTGCTCGTGGATAAGTCGTTTGACAACCTCATCGACCTCGGCTTGGATGCGTTGAGCTTCTGCGCCCACGACGCATGGGAAGGATTCATGCATGTTGCTTCTAACATTCGCCTTGTGGGGTGTCGTATAGCCACCATTTCCGACCACACCTCCTCGCCCATTGCCGGATGGTATACAAGGAGGCAACTTGTTCATACTGTTATAGAAATCCAGACGTAAGGTGGTGAATTAAAGGCAAGTATCTACGCAAATAAAGGGGAAAGGTAAACGCGTTGTCACAGCGACCAAGCAACGGCTCATCGTCAGTTGAAATGGGAAAAGGATGACAAGGGGGAGCGATAACAAGGCACACCCCTCCCCATAAACACCACCTCGCAGGCCTTCCAAGACGCAGTGATAGACATCCGAGTCGCGTTGCAAGATTCCGACACGACGGGCGTGACTGGAGACAAAAAGTGGACAGGCATTGTTACAAGGCTGCTCCGTTGAAGATATCTCCGAAGAAGGTGAACTTCCGAGCCCCTGGCCTACGTCCTTGTTCACTTTGCGCCGCCCGCCCGCGACTATTTTGCTCATAGTTGGTCCTCCGTGCACAGGTTACAAACGTAAGTATGGTCGTCTCTGTCAGAGGTGGCCTATGGGGAATGGGGGATCTTCTGCTTTGGTGCTTTGTGAATTTCTTCTTTGTACCCGCCTTGTGCTCGTCGCCTCCCTCTACTAGTGTGCCAAATGGCGGTGGGACCGCCCCAGGAGGTTTCTCATCGAGAGGTGAGCTACCGCAATTGGATTTTGCGCGTCTTGGAGCCTACCGCTTCGCCTCACCAAGTCTGTGCGTCAGGACACGACGAGCCTGCTACGTATTGTGCGCGCGGCCGGAGCAGCATCCTCTGCAGGACAACTACGAGGTTGACCCCTTGTCTAGAGATACCATCACCATACCTGCGACAACAAGCAGTAGTACAGGTAGAGGCGTCCACCTGGTGTCGCCAGGGATCGGTTGCTTGTGTCAGGGACAAGATGGAGACGTGCTCGCCCTTCTGGGACTCATGCGTCGGGAGGCGGAAAAATATTTACACGCCTTTGGGCACCCGATCTCGGCCCGGGTGCTGGCTCAGCGCGTAGGGACAATTTTAGGCGGTAAAGGGCAAGAAACATGGTCCCGACCTCTGTGCTGCATTTCGGTGCTCATGTCTTCTTCAGGTACTGCTACGAGCGCAGCCGCCATTCCTTCTTCCCCTTTCCGTTCCTCATCACTGAGGGGCGAAGCAGAAATGTACCAGATCGATCCCACTGGGTTAGTCTTCAGCATACGAGGACAGGTTTTCGGCGGCAAAGACGCGACAGATCCGGTGGCACATGACCTGCAGGAATGGCTTGGCTGCTTTCTTCAGGAAAGGGATGCCGAGGGGGAGAAAGGACGAGAGGAAGGGGAAGAAAACGAACAGGAGATATGGACAGCCCTATGGACGGGCATGAAGAAATTCATACCAAACGTAGCACAGCATCCCGAGTCAGTGGAATGTGCTCGAGCGGCTGCTTCCTCTTTTCGACGTTTGGGTCCGGTGACCGTAGTGATCAAAGGACCGGAGGGCGTGAGGGAGGAGTAAGCATGTGGACAAAGCAACAATCGCATGTATGCATGGGTGATGAACGCACCACCCTCATGTATCCACGCTGGAGATGACCGCAGGACGAAGCAATAAAGCATAGATGTCATACACGTCATTTTATTTCTATGATACACAACCTGTCTCGCTCAAATCCTTCTCCCCCTTGTTAACTTCCCTTCGTTCCCGGCTTCTCGCACTCTCCCCCTCTCTCTCCTCCTCCCTCCCTCTGTGTCGACTACCTGCCTAGAAAGAAAGGACGGGTCCTCTCTTTGGCCTTCCCCCCTCCTCGTCTTCGCTTTCTGTTCCACTGCTTCGCGTGGTCAATCCCCCGGCCGAGGATGTCGAATACCGTGGCTCGCCCAGGAAACTCGCCGAGCTCCTCCCCCTCCCTCCCTCCCTGCCAGTATCGGCGTGCTCGCTCAGGCTCTGGAAGTCGCTCTGACTCAAGGACAAAGAGCCCACGCTTCCCTCCACACTCTTTCCCCCCCCGCTCCCACTCAAAGAACCAAAACCCTGTTCAAATCCTACCCGTGCCACGGCCCCTGCCGCGCTTTGTGGTTTAGTCATCGTCCCACCGTCTCTTTTTCCGCACTCCTCCTTCCCATCGCTCCCAGATTTTCCGCCGCCCACCACCTCCACACGTCCCACCCGCAAAGGGGAAGGAAGCTTACTCTGGCCGTTCCCCTTATCTCCCAACGGCCCTCCTCGTCCCCCCACGTGGACACCCGCCTTGTTTTTGGCTGCTACTACTCCATGGTCATGGTTCCTTGAGTCCACTAGGCTTACAGAAACTGCATGCGCGCCCGGGGCGATGTGTTTGACAGGTCGTCTGGGAGCGGTCAGCAACCAACCGATCCCCCCCCCCCTGTCCTCCCTCTCTGCCTTCGGCAATTTTCTTTCTGTCCTGGGGAGAGAAAGCCAAGAGGGTGGCAAGGACGCGTTCCAAAGACGCCTTCTCCGACAGCGCCCCGGGGGGGAAGGAGAGGTAGTCGACCACCACGTTTTTCAAGTATTCCAGGTTACACCCTTCCCGTTGTTGGGCTCGACGGAGAGCCACCCGTTCCTGGTTCAGGGTAGCTTGGAGAGCGGTCAAACGCCCGACCTCCAGGTCTTTGGTCGCCAAAGCTTCTTGTAATTTCTTCAAACTCACTTTGCAAGACTCCAATTCCGCCCGGTGGTGACTGTCCCGTTGGGACTGGACCGTGGCCAGCTCCATGATTTTCCTGTCCGTGTAAGAGCCTGAGGCGATCTCCTCTTCCAGCGCCATGATTTTCTGGACACACTCGCCGAGCTGTCGGTCTTTGTCGGCGATGATCTCCCGTGCTAACGCCGATTTTTTCTGGGACTCTTTATGGTAGAGCATCAACTCTTCCTCGAACGTTTGCTGCTGACTTGCTGCCTGTTGCCGACTTTCGTCTCTCTGCGCCTGAGCGCCTGACTCCCACGCTTCTTTTTCTTTCCGCAAAATCTCCTTTGTCTCCATCAAGGCCTTTTCCAGCTTCACGCAGGCCTGCTGCCTGCTTTCCACCTCGCGAGACAAACGAGCCCGTGCCATCTCCCCCTCCTCCACGCTTTCCCGGAGGCGCTTCATCTCCAGCACCATTTCTTGCACACCTGTTTCCAGCTGCGCCATTTGGGCCGTTTTCAATGCGCAGGATTGTTCGGTTTTCTCCAAATCCGATCGCACCCGCAGCAAGACCCCCGTTTTCTCGGCAAGTTGCTGACAGCCTCTGTCCAGCTCCGCTCTCTGCTCCGCGTCCCGTTGGCGAAGATTCTCCTTCTCCTGCTCAGCCCCCCGCAGCAAGCCGGAGATCGAAGCTATCTCCTGTGTAAGCGAGTCAACCTTAGATTGGGCTGCCCGCAAGGAGGATTCGAGCGTGAGCCGTTCGCTTTGATCCTGGGACATGGCACGATGCAAAGCATCAATCGCCGAGTCCTTCTCCTGCAGGATGAGCGAAGAGGCCGCCAGCTCTTTTTCCAATTCATCCGCCTCATCCATGGCCCTGTCTCGGGGAAAGGAGGCCGTTTTCTCCGCCCTTTCCCTTTCGGCACCCGTCTTCCCTTCCCTTCCTGCCTCCGACGCAGGAGTCTCCGGGCCGGCTTGAGGAGCTCCATCCTCTCCCTGCGGTCGGATTTGTCGCCGGAGACGCGTCACCTCTTTTGCATGACTTTCCTGCATCTTTCCTACCTCGAGCTTCAATTTGCGCGCTGTATCCCTTTCTTCGGCTGCCGTTTTATTTTGCTCTGCCACTTGGCGTCGCAAGGCTTGCAATTCCTCCTCCGTCTGAGCCAAAGCCCGCTTGGCGTCCTCTAATTCATTTTGTACGCGACAAAGTTCATTATCGTCTACGTTTTGCTCCCTTACCGTCGCTAAGCTTGATTCGTCGTGCTCCTCTTGCGGCTTTGGGATGGATGGCAGGGCTATGGCGAGGGTGGAGGCCGGTGCTGCTTTATTTGCCAGGACGTACTCCCGATGCTGTTGTTGCATTGCCTGCAAGGTCAGGTGTCGTTCCTCTTCTTGTTGAGCCCATTCACGTCGGAGGGCAGGCAGAGAGGCTTGCGTTCCATGGGGCGGCACATCCTCCCTTTGAAGCACGTCACGGTACAGGAAATCTATCATCTCGTCCCGCTCTACTTCGGTCCTGCCGTTTGCTTCCTTCAATTCACGTGTCTGGGTTTCCATAACCTTCACGCGTCTCTTTAATTTCGTGCACGCCAACATCAAGTCCTCCATGGAAATGTCGGGACCAATCACCCGCTGTTCATCCTGACACGGACTATCAGGAGTGGTCGAAGTTGAAGTCTTCCCGAGTGAGGATGCGTATTGATGGTGCTGTGAAATTTTCAAAATGCCTTTGGAAAATGAGGAAAGAGCCTCTATGCCTTTGTTGCGGAGTGGTGAAGTCGTCAGATTGGTGCCGTGGCTATTGTTTTTAAGGCCATTCCCGCCGTGAAGACCCCTGAAAAGGGAAGCTGCCGTCGCTGCCGCCATACCCGCCGTGCTCGTCGATTTGGGTTTGTGCTCCCGTCCTCCACTGTCTTCCGACGTGCTGGTGCTATTATCGTGCGTCAAACCGGGTGTAGATGCTGATAAAGGGTCGTCTGCCGGATCTTTTATTGGTCTCGTTGTTACCCTTGTGGGACTTGATGGGCCTGTCCCTTGAGCCTCCATCGTGCCATATAGTGACCCCTGAGGGAACAACACGATCCTGTTCATGGCATAAGAAAGGCAGAACGGAGAATGGTCAAGTCCTAATCTCTACATGCGGAGCATGGACGTTTTAAGTTTAGAGACAAAAGCTCTTTAACGCTGTGTAGTGGTTTAGCGAGCCCGCGGCCAAAGCCCTCCAACGTCCCAAAGAGCGGCTTCCCTCACACGAGTTCCCACCCCGAAATATACCAGGAACCTTTAGCCTCATGTCGTCACCATTGTTTTGAAAGTATTCTGTGTTTGTTTGTGCATGCACATGTATTTTTGCGGCAAGTGTCCCCTGCCTCCTTGACGATGAAAGAGCGAGGATCACCATGGATTGGCATGCTGCAGTCAGATACTCATATATTACTCTCCGTTATCTTTGCCTCTCTTCTCTCTCACTTTATTTTATAATTACAGATAGTGAGAGTGATGAGCGTTCGCGGTGTGCCCCAGCTTCGATCACTGCTTCTGCGCTACTCGGACCGGGACGGCTCAAGCCGCGCCATGAGGTACATAAAGAAACAAAAATGATAAATTCTGGATCAATTTGTACAGACAAGTACTGCGTTATGTAAGGCGAAGAATATCCTGTGCCAGGAATCCTCATGGTTGTGTAATATGCTATCACCACACGGGGCTCTGCAGAGAATACATCGGCTCTCGCCTGGTGGCGTTTGCGCAGGCCCACGGGCATGTGAAGATCACAACGCAATTAAAACGGAACGTGCATCCTGTGGTGCAGGCAGATTATGGTACGTGGCAACTTGGAGGCTGAGTGAAGGACAAAGAGGGGTACACTCGAAGTGTGGATTCTTGGGGGAGCGTGCATCGATTGACAAGACGGAGAGGAGCCTGTGGAAACTTGTACAATTGCAATCAAACGCGCGTCATGCATCATGCATCATCTGTTCTGCTATGTTTCCTCCTATTGTTTTGGTGGCCAACTTTTGCCTCCCTCTTTACCCGATGCACAGTGTTCGGAGATCCCAAAGTCGTCTGCGTCCGTCGGGCAACCACGGCGGAAGAAGTGGAAAAGGTCATCCTTGCACTTCGGAATACGACGGGCCGAAAGGTGAAGCCTTTGAACAAACCCGTCGTGTCCCGTCTACCCAGCGTCCAGGTTAGTGTGACCGGGTGCTCATGTGTAGCATTGCCACATACGCGCCCCTGCCTCTTCCTAACTTATGCCAATGCAAACATGGAACAGGGCCCGTGGGATCCTAGAATGCCACTGCACAAGGAGCGACTGACTTTGGAGCACGGCGCTGAAGCATAGAAAGGATGGGCTGTGGTGCTTTGTAAGCATCAAGACATGGAGGAAAGTGGTTCTGATGTGGTTAATCAGAAGTCCAGAGCTCACGAACCCTTTTAAATGTACAAAAGAAATAAGTCATGGCTCGCATATGTGCCTGACAACGATGCAGCCAGCAGAGCACACTTTTTATCACATTCCTCTGTACTTTTGTCGGTACAGGAGTAGTCAAGCATCTTTTTATCTATGTTTCTTTGCGTGGCGCCATGATAAGGCCGCTCACATGGAAACAGACAAAATTTAGCAGGAATCTTAGATCGATCGGACAATGTGAACTCTATAAATCCCACCGGATAGTAAGAGATTACGGATTTTTGTTCGTCGAACCATGTTTGTGCAGTGGCAACGCCTTTGATGCATGACATGTGGAAGGTACAAGATATCGGTAAAAGACTTACGTGCAATCAAAAGGGGACCAGGGAGAATAAACGCTTTGTCACGTCTGGGAAGAATGGGAGAACTCCCAGGATTGTCGCAGAGCATCGTCTTTGTCGGATCCTTTCGATCTTAGTCAAGGGTGCGTACACTTCCGAGCGATCTTTTAGCAATCGCGTCACCACAGTTCGGAAGGGTAAAAACTGTATCAGTAGCTTGAATTACATCCTAGCCATGCCGCCAATCGTGACCTACTGCCACTCTGGCCATATGGAAAGGAGTAATGCCAAGTTATCATGAATGCTTTGTTACACCAGTAGTTGACGGCGGTAAAGGTGACATTTTCATGCGCTGGTGCCTCCATCAGCATGATCATTATGTCCTTCGTCTCAAGCGCACCAAGAATAGTACACGATGACAGTATTCACAGCACTACCTCCACGATAAATCCCGCAATGGGGCTGCAGCCTGCCGAGAAAGATATATGGGCCGTTGTGACGTTACAAAAGGCCTCGTCAATCGGCCGGGAGGAGGGAATGACGATCTTCTCAAGTGCGTGTTCCACGGCACTGAGAAAGCCCCTTGACGTGCCGTCTGGTAGCCTGCCAATGTCTTTTAGTCGGTAGTGAAGGATAAAGTGATGTCTTTGTGACCTCTCAGCTACTTTACGGGTCGAATTTTCTTCATTTCACCATTTTTTCCCCCTCTCATTCTTCCCCGACCCGCACGCTGGTTTTCTAGGCATGGCCCCGCAAAAAGAGAATGAGCAGCCACTGCTGGGGGAGGCGAATGCCAAAGGCAAGAAGATGAGCAAGGTAAGGCCGAGTGAAGGTGTTGTTGGTAACACTTTTCCTCAATTGCGTCCGCGATGAAAATTGCTAGTGGATTATTCAGTAGAGCCGGTGAGAATTGAGACATACGGCCGTAGCAAGGCAGGCGCGGAGAGCATAAATTGAGACGTATGAGTTTCTTTCCAGGCAATCACGTTAAATATTGATGTATATATGATTCAAGCATGTGTTCCAGCATGTATCAAGCTTGACTGCAAAGTATCTGTGTTTAAACTTGTTTTATTATACAAAGGACCGCACTCCCGTGTCGCTGTTTTTACGAAAGTGGCCCTTATCCCCTCGTTTGATTCAACCCCATTCATGCACGTACAATTCTCACATCAAGCGTTGTTTCTCACATGTGCTTGGTTTTCTTATTCACCCCTCGCCCCCATTGACATCCACTCCTTCTGGATACACAGGAGGCTGAGAAAGCTGGTGGAACGGCCCATGCGGATTACGTGCTTCTCTCCTTGGACGAGGTACGTTGATGGTGACGGCGGATCTAGAAAAAGAAAAACGTTTGTTTCCTGGTTTGTCCCCGTGCGGATGGCTTGTTTGCACCAGTGGAGGATTGGGCAGCTTGGGCTCCAGGGCGGCATTCGTCCGTCCCGATCTAGTCGTCACGCGATGGGTTTAAGCCGTCATGGCGCCAGGAAGCTTTCCACACCCATCCTTTGGTCAAGTATCCACTTTATCTCCCCGCTTCAATGACCCGTTGATGGACCCTTTTCCCTTTCTTAAACAGGAGAGCAAAGTCCCGGGGCCTGGCGGGGAGCACGATGGTGAGGCGGACAAGGCCAAGAAGGAGACGGTCCCCTTGCCTCCCGTTCCTCTGAAAATGCTCTTCTACTTCGCCGACACGCTTGACGTCCTTCTCATGTGTATCGGGGGGCTGGCTGCCGCGGGTACGGGCTGCATCATGCCTATATTCGCCCTGATCTTCAGCAACACGACGGACGCCATTAACACCGGCTCTGACGAGGAACGGAGGCACAATGCCACGAAATACTCTCTTTACTTCTTGGCCCTCGCCGGCGTCTCGATGGCCTTGAACTTCATCCAGTCCTCTTGCCTAGCCACGGCGGCCGAACGGCAGGTGCGAAAAATGCGCGAAAGTTTTTTGAAGGCCGTGCTCCGGCAGGAAATTGGGTGGTTCGACGTGGGCAGCTCCGGGGAACTGACCACACGGATAAAGGGCGATACCTTGCTGGTGCAGCAAGGTATCGGGGAGAAACTGGGCTTGGGCATCCAGTTCTTTGCGACCTTCGTGGCCGGCTTCGTGATTGGGTTTAGCAAAGGTATGCACTTGGTCAAGTTCTTTTTATCTGGTTCACGTCTCGGCGTCCTCCTTGCCCGGCGCCGGTCCCCTTCTATCCTTTAACCTCCCTTTCCCTCCTTCTCTGCCTCCCTCCCATCTCGCCAGGGTGGAAGCTTGCCTTGGTGATGTGCTCGGTCGTTCCCTTGCTGGGGGTCTCGGCCGCTTTTCTCTTCAGCTCCGTGGGGAAGCTGACCACGTTGGGACAGAAGCTCTATGCAGAGGCGGGGAGTGTGGCAGAGCAGGCAATTTCCTCAATCAGGACCGTTGCGGCCTTTACCGGGGAAGAAAAGGAAGCCGACAAGTAAGAGAGGGGGCTGGAGTGGGAGGGGAGAAATGGTGCACGAGTATGACGTGGAAATGCCTGTGGAAAGAAGCG